AGGAATGTTGTAGGTACTCTATTCCAGAAAGAAATTTCCCTGTTTTGCAGCATCGGTGCCATGCCTTGGATTTATTAACCAGCTGGTGAGATTATTCTCGTCTGCCTAGTGTGGTTCAGAAGGACTTTGTGCCTGAGCCTGCTCCCAGAGATGGCAGGCAAGCAGCCGTGTTGCTCGCTGGCCCTGCGGTTGGGAGGGTTATAGGTAGGTGAGAAGGGAATGTGGATGTTCTCCCGGCAGCTCCAGCTGAGGAAGAGGAGGTCTGATGTAAATATATGAAAGACCACCACAAAACAAAGTCCACCTAGGTAAGTCCCTATCTCCAGCAGTTGCCAATAGCAAATGTTTCAAGTGTGGAAAACAGGATGAGTGCTTTTCCTTCTGAGCAATGAGCCGGGTGCGGGTTCTTGCCTTTTGGATTATAGTGTTTAAAATCCCCTGAAGAATCTCTCTTCCATGACTTGATCTGGCTATCTTCTTTTCCTTTCCTCTAAACTGAATTTGAAGATAAGCATGACAAAGCACATGGTACAGCAGCGGGCGGTGATGCAGGGGAAGCATGTTACATCTCTTCTCTGCCAGAGTTTGCTCTCTCAGGGCCTGCTTCTCTCTCGGGAGTGACTCAAGGAGGGACTGCAGAGGTTTGGGGCATTTCCTTGCCCATCCTCAGGGCCTAAAGCGAGCCCTTTTGGAGGAAGGTAGCTGAATTCCCTTGTTGCCCGGTGCCGGTGGCTCACCGTTTTGGGATGCTCCATGGTGTGTAACTGCAGTGACTCAGCTCTCTGTCAGACGTCCCGCACACTACCGCTTCTGGGGCGAACAGGGGAACAAACAACCAAACCCTAAAGACCAGCATGAAAATTCACCTTAGAAAAGGGGCAACAGGGTTTGGGAGGAAGGAGACTTCTTGTTTCTTGCTCTGTTTGGTCCATCCTGGCAAACGTCAGTGTTTGAGAAACTGAAGAAGACCCTGATTCAAGGCAATACCATCCAGCCTAAAGGGGGTGCACTCAGTCTTTCTGGGGAGAGCCAGTAAAATGCAGGGTGGTGGTGATAGGGTCCAGAGTATTAAAAATCAAGGAATGAGCTGGCTGAGCAAACAGCCCTGAAGCAGTACTTGCTCCAACACGCTGCCGCTCAGACCTCACCGTGCTCTAGTGCTGCTGCTCGGGACACCCTCCCTGCCTGCTGGTACAGCTGTGCTTGTCCTTCACCTCTTCAGTGCTTTCCCGCACCATTTGCACATTATTCCTTGCCCCTGTGGATAAGGAGGACGTACGTGCCCAGCTTGAGGTCAGTGCTGACTCAGGCCAGGAGCCAGGATTGCTTCCCCTGGGGTACTGGTTCTCCCCATGCATGCTGCTTCAGGCATCCCCAAAGTCACCTTCAGAAGGAGATGGGTGGGAACAAAATGAGTCTCTCTGTTGAGGTGGTGGATCTCCTCTGCTCTCAGCAATAATGCTCATGTCCCAAGTAGGCTTTGCTTGTCCCACATCTCTTCTGGCTGTTCCTTACTCTCCTACCACAAAAAAATCCTCATTTACCTTGTTTGCCTCTGCTGGCTCCTCACTGTCTGCATGAATGCCTCTATAGGATGGCTATAGGCCCTGATAAACCCAACACGATCCCCTTCCTTCATGCCATGGTAGTGAAATCAACCCTTTTCTTCCACCCACAACCTGGCTGACCGGTGCTCAGCTTCTAATAGCATCGATGGAACCCAGGGTTGGTGCCTCTGGCATGCCAGGAAAGTCTGTAGCAGGGAGGCTTGGCTTCTTCTGGGGTTTGGGGGCTCCTCCGTCGCACCCCTGTGCCT